GTAGGAGACACTTGTGCTTGACGTTTAAAGGTGGCCAGAAGAGGCTTTCTAAATTAATTGTACGAAAACCAAAACCGGGTTTGGCCCATATAAAACTGAGTATAGGGTCTCCTGCACACGCCAGTCGTTCCATGAACCTTTCCCTGGTTATAGTTCACCACAGTTGAAGATTTGAAGGTAATCTCTGACAAGGCGTTCAGAAGTTGAAAACGAGTCTTTGGTGGACGTTAGTGGAAGATAAGAAAAACTGTTCTTACAGGCATTATTAACTCGTGTCTCTAACGCTGGAGACGTGTCTTGGTCTGAGACCACTCTCAGAGCTTGGCCATGTGTCTTGGTCTGAGACCACTCTCAGACCTTGGCCACGTGTCTTAGTCTGAGATCATTCCCAGAGTCTGGACATATGTCTTGGTTTGAGACCAGTCTCAGACTCTGAACACGTGCCTTGGTCTGAGACTACTCTCAGAACTTGGCCAAGTGTCTTGGTCTGAGACCACTCTCAGACTCTGGACACGTGTGTTGGTCTGAGACCACTCTTAGACTCTGGACACGTGTCGTGGTCTGAGACCACGAACGAATAAACGAACAAGTGCAGGTAAGATCGCAATGGGATGAGCGGGGAAGACGGGACAGACGAAGAATAGTGCTGGAGAGGAGTGTTCTTAGTCGTAGAAACAGAGCCAGGGCTTAACCCAGCAGCTAAGGCGATCGTGGGACAGACTTGAGAACAGGAATAGCAGGCTCAGTTACGTTGGTCTTGCAGCATTAGGTTAGTCACAGGACGGAGGAGAAGGAGGATATGAGACAGACAGGCAGACATGAGTTTAGGTAAGACTCCCAGAAGAAGAATAGCAGTCGTATAGAAAGAGCCAGAGCTTAATTCAGCATCTAGGCGGTCGTGGGGTAGAATTGAGAATCAGGAATAAAAGGGTCTGTTGCATCGAACTTGTGGTAGTTGAAGTCTTGAATCTGGAGTAGCTGGCAGCAGGCTAGGTCGCAGGAGAGGGAGCGTCACAGGGCAGCACACAGGTGGGAGTTATAGGAGTAATTGAGGAGGCAGGTTTGCAATGGAGCCATTTTCAAACTTTTTGAAGCTGCTCCTGGAATGGTGGTATAGTTTAGTCTTGTTACTGAGGGTGAAACGTAGAGGCTTGATGAACTCAAGAACTTGGGTGAGTGTGAAAAGAAGAGGTGATTCACAGACGTACTTGATCCAGTACCTAGGCCTTTGTAGAGTTCAGTACAAGTCATGGTGTCAGTATTTAAAGGAGAAGTGTAGAAGGTAAGGTTTTACCCACGAGGGTGTACTGGAGTCGTCGCTATCTTCTTCTGGAGTGGATTCTTTGGCGAGTCTACAATGGTGTTAGCAGGTGACTGAGAGTCGACAGGAGCAGTGGAGAGGTGCAATGGTGGTGTAACAGCAGGTTGGGAGACGTGGGATACGGTGGTTGAGGCAGTACAATCATCGTTGTCGGCGGTGGAAGTGGTTATAGAAGTTACCAAAGCAGTTGCTTAGGCAGAAGAGAGGTCTGCAGGTGTAGTAAGGTTCACGACGTTGGGAAGGATCTTGAGGATGTCTGCTGAAGGTGTGGAGTCCGACATGTTGTTCAGACGGAATAGTTCATTAATAGTGTTGCTGAAAGTGCTGGGGTTTGCTGCGTTTGCAAGGTGTGCATGCACCATGCAGTACAGCACCTTGGAGGGAGCACCGCCGGGGAGTGGAGAGAAGTAGTTGCTAGGCGAAAGTGTCTGTACAGTGGCGTGTAGAATCTTGATGATGTCAACTTGTAGTCAGATTATTGCAGCGTATGTCGGTGAATTGGAGGTGTTCTTCAGATCTTCTTTAGTTTTCTTCATTATGATTTCTTTCCTGAGTGGGCACTTTCCTGAGTGAGCATGATGATTACCCTTGCAGTTAAGACATGTTAAAACCGTAGTGATGAGGCAGGATCTGAATTCGTGTCCATCATTCCCACATTTTGAACAAAATTTCTTATCCTTGACTGTGTAATCCTTGGTGGTGTGATTATAGGAGTAGCAGGTCCAGCAGTGGGAGACGTGGGTGAAACGTTCTGTTTCTATATGACTTGGGTGAATGTGGTAATATGAGATGGCCAGACAGTCAGAGAGAGCTTGAGCAGCCATGGAGATATCTGAGAATGTAATCTTTAGCATAGATGAGGCGTTAGGGATCTTGGAGATGCTATCTACCGAGGCCCAGGTGTTTTGTTCCTCCATAGATGACTTCAGTGCTTCAGTTGAGAGAGCGGTGATGATCTTGTTCAGTCTTTTCACAAAGACTGAACGCTTCGACTTTAAGAATGAAGACGGGGATATGGTGAATTGTCATGCTTGTAGGGTCGTGACTGAAGAGTTGTCCATTAATTTTGATGCTTCAGTGTCTTCTGTGCAGACGACAATGAAGGAGTCCTTCAGAGAGTGGATTGGTGTAAATTTGACCTGTAGGTAGGTCCTAACGGCGGTAGCTAATGCTAGCTTTGATGAGTCATTGATTACTCCATTCACAGGCTTGATTTTCACACGATGCGACATCATTGTGAGAAGGGAGGTGGCGCTTCTAGGATATAACTTCCCCACCAAAGCGGGGATCGAAGGGAGACTACTTGAGTGTAGAGCAACTGTGTCTTGCTAGTGATTTGATATCAGTATTGCCTTCATTTGATATCAGTATTGCCTTGATTTGATATCAGTATTGCCTTGATTTGATATCAGTATAGCATTACAAAAGAGATTTGCTTTCAAATAAATGTAATACAAATATAAAACGAAGAACATAAAGAATTTATACAAAATATTAAAAAAAAAAAAGGCAGAAAACGAAAACAATGCCACATAGGCATAAATTGAAGATGTTTAGTGGCCTTAAGTGGTATCGCCCTCGACCTTACAAATGAAAGAGCAAGATTCGATCCAGGGACGAGTGGAGACGATGAGTACGTGACTTTACACCTGTTGATGAGTGTTAGCAGACTGTTGTGGGTCGCATCCCAGAGAGATGGGGTCGTAGTAGAGCTTACATAGATCTGGGCTTTTAAATAATGTGATGTAGGAAAATACTTCCTACTCTGTAGATGAGCTGTAGTAGGATGACTCCTACCCTGTAGATGAGCTGTAGTAGGATGACTCCTACCCTGTAGATGAGCTGTAGTAGGATGACTCCTACCCTGTAGATGAGCTGTAGTAGGATGACTCCTACCCTGTAGATGAGCTGTAGTAGGATGACTCCTACCCTGTAGATGAGCTGTAGTAGGGATGACTCCTACCTGTAGTGAGCTGAAGTAGGATGACTCCCACCCTGTAGATGAGCTGTAGTAGGATGACTCCTACCCTGTAGATGAGCTTTTAGTAGGATGACTCCTACCCTGTAGATGAGCTGAAGTAGGATGACTCCTACCCTGTAGATGAGCTGTAGTAGGATGACTCCTACCCTGTAGATGAGCTGTAGTAGGATGACTCCTACCCTGTAGATGAGCTGAAGTAGGATGACTCCTACCCTGTAGATGAGCTGTAGTAGGATGGGCTCCTACCTGTAGATGAGCGTAGTAGGATGACTCCTACCCCGTAGATGAGTGAGTAGGATGACTCCTACCCTGTAGATGAGCTGTAGTAGGATGACTCCTACCCTGTAGATGAGCTGAAGTTTGGATGACTTTACCTGTGATGAAACTGTAGTAGGATGACTCCTACCCTAGATGAGCGGAAGTAGGATAACTCCTACCCTGTAGATGAGCTGAAGTAGGATAACTCCTACCCTGTAGATGAGCTGTAGTAGGATGACCCCTACCCTGTAGATGAGCTGAAGTAGGATGACTCCTACCTGTAGATGAGCTGTAGTTTGGATGACTCCTACCCTGTAGATGAGCTGTAGTAGGATGACTCCTACCCTGTAGATGAGCTGAAGTAGGATACTCCAACCCCGTAGAAAGAGTGAAAGTAGGATAACTCCTACCCTGTAGATGAGCTGTAGTAGGATGACTCCTACCCTGTAGATGAGCTGAAGTAGGATGACTCCTACCCTGTAGATGAGCTGTAGTAGGATGACTCCTACCCTGTAGATGAGCTGTAGTAGGATGACTCCTACCCTGTAGATGAGCTGAAGTAGGATAACTCCTACCCTGTAGATGAGCTGTAGTAGGATGACTCCTACCCTGTAGATGAGCTGTAGTAGGATGACTCCTACCCTGTAGGGTGAGCTGTAGTAGGATGACTCCTACCATGTAGATTTAGCTGTAGTAGGATGACTCCTACCCTGTAGATGAGCTGAAGTAGGATAACTCCTAGCCTGTAGATGAGCTGTAGTAGGATGACTCCTACCCTGTAGATGAGCTGTAGTAGGATGACTCCTACCCTGTAGATGAGCTGAAGTAGGATGACTCCTACCCTGTAGATGAGCTGTAGTAGGATGACTCCTACCCTGTAGATGAGCTGTGTAGGATGACTCCTACCCTGTAGGGTCAGCTGAAGTAGGATAACTCCCCCTGTAGATGAGCTGTAGTAGGATGACTCCTACCCTGTAGATGAGCTGTAGTAGGATTGACTCCTACCCTGTAGATGAGCTGAGTAGGATGAAATCCTACCCCGTAGATGAGCTGTAGTAGGATGACTCCTACCCTGTAGATGAGCTGTAGTAGGATGACTCCTACCCTGTAGATGAGCTGAAGTAGGATAACTCCTACCCTGTAGATGAGCTGTAGTAGGATGACTCCTACCCTGTAGATGAGCTGTAGTATGATGACTCCTACCTGTAGATGAGCTGAGTAGGATGACTCCCACCCCGTAGATGAGCTGTAGTAGGATGACTCCTACCCTGTAGATGAGCTGAAGTAGGATAACTCCTACCCTGTAGATGAGCTGAAGTAAGATAACTCCTACCCTGTAGATGAGCTGAAGTAGGATAACTCCTACCCTGTAGATGAGCCCGAAGTAGGATAAAATCCTACCCTGTAGATGAGCTGAAGTAGGATGAAATCCTACCCTGT